CACGGCACCTTCCAGTGGGGCAGTAACTTAAAGACCCGAGAAACAACAGACAGAGGAAAAGCCATTGTCATGGCGCGTGACTGCCCCGGTTTCAGATGGGGCCAGTGAGACGCGTCCCTCGTCACCCCACCCTCTGCCGTCTTAGCTGAGGCAGCAGAGACGTGTTAGCATCTGTTTGGGCTTTCCGACCGCAGAGCGTGGCTTCTGCCCAGGCCCCTCATGTCTGATGCGTGGAGATTTGGCAAAAGCTCTCACTGGTGAGTCCCAGGAAGGAGGTAATGGACACCAGACCCTTCTCCAAGCCTCCAAGCAGCGGTTTTAAACACAGGTCTGCTCAGGTTCCTAGCTGAGCGCTGCATCTGGTTGACTCCCACCACACCGGCGGGTGTCTGGACCCCGTCTGGTGCCGCCTCGCTTTGTTGGGTAACACGATCCCATTCTGGACACCAGCATGCGTGGTGGTAGAAACAAAACAGAGGATAAGCAGGTCTTCGACGGGCTGTGCTTTGTGACCGTTCACTCGTCAGCACGTCCTCCAATAAAGCCTATACTCTTGTGCTTAACCACCGTAGCTAAAGGCAGAGCTCACCCGTGTGGGAATGGTCTCACAGGAAAGGTAGGTGTGAGGATAAGAAGCCTAAAAACCAAGTAAATCATCACAAGTGTGCAGCATATTGGGAGGGAGAAATCCAGGGTGGGGTGAGTAATGGGGGCATCAGGGAGGTGCTCTGAGCTAGTGATTGCTGACTTGAGGCCTAAAGGAAAAGGAGGACTCAGCTCCTGAATGGAGTGGGAGAGAGGTTTTGAGGCCCAGGAGGTGCCAAGGCCCTGAGGCAGACAGCACTTGGTGATTTCAGGAAGTGAAGAAGCCCAGCGGGGCTGAAGCACACAGGGTGTGAAGTACATGGGGGTGGTGGGTGGGAGCCAGACTACCATGTATCAGGAAGGGCTTGTGTTTTCGTGTCACAGAGGGCTGAACGAGCATCCCTCCAGAATATCATTGGGAACCCAGGTTCCATCCAGCTCATCACTTCACCGTCCTTACGTGGCTCTTGTCCTTATCCTCACAAGATGGCTGTTGAAGCTCCAGTCATCTTCTCTACATTCCAGGCAGGAATAAGGAGAAGGGCAAAGGGAAGAGGGACAAGCAGTCAAATGTGAGCTGCACGAGAATCTTCACTTATTAGCCAGCCTATAGCACGTGGTAACCCTTAACACATCCAGGGAATGAGGTGTTTTAGCTGGCTACATCGCTGCTTGCTACAGGCCCAATGTTCTGTTAGCAAAGAAGAGGAGGGAGTAGATATTGTATAGGCATGTCCAGAGTCTGCCCCACAGGGCCTTGTAGGTCATGGTAAGGAGCGTGGTCTGCATCCTGATACAGCTGGGGAGCCATAGATTGTTCTAAGCAGGGCGATAACATGGAAGGGGGAGACGACTCAGGGTTGCCCTACTTGAGCCACAGCAACACATATCTTTCGGCCTACATAACAGTTTTCTAGAACTGCTCTAACGCATTGCCACAAACGTTGTGGTTTAAAGCAACAGACATCTATTCTCTCCCGGTTTGGGCTGCTGGGAGTCTGAAATCATAGTGTCAGAGAGGCCATGCTCCCTCTGAAGACTCGAGGGGAGAATCCTGCCTTACCTATTCCTAGCCTGGTGGCTCCTGGCTCTCCTTCGTGTTCCTTGGCTCATCAGCTACATCACTCCAATCTCTGCCTCTGTCGTCACATGGCCTTCTTCCCCGTTTCCCTGTGTGTCTATATCCAAATCTCTCTCTCTCTCTTTTACAAGGACACCCACCATTGGTTTTAGAGCCCACCCTAATCCAGCCTGACCTCATCATTTTTTTAAAAGTTTATTTATTTATTTTGAGAGAGAAAGAGAGCACGAGCAGGGGAGGGGCAGAGAGAGAGAGGAAGAGAGAGAATCCCAAGCAGCCTCTGCACTGTCAGCGTGGAGCCCCGTGTGGGGCTCGAACCCACGAACCATAACCTGAGCCAAAACCAAGAGTCGGACATTCAACCAAGTGAGCCACTCTGGCACCCCCCAGTCTGATCTCATCTTAACTTGATTATGTTTGCAACGATTCTACTTCCAAATAAGGTCTTACTCATAGGTACTAGGGGTTGGGACTTGAATATACCTTTTTTGTAGGACACAATCCTGGAGGGCATGCAAAGGGACTAATGTGCCATCTAGACGCTGCTTTGCTCTCTTGGGCTGCTCGTTTCCCCCTCACCCGTAAAGACAGCCCAGAAATTAGGGAGGCGGGTTTACTTCCAAAATTTTGACCCAGTGCCAGGTGCGAGGCAAAAGGAAGGGGTCTGGGCTCCTGGCACGGGGCTGTCCTCACCTTGGCAAATACGTCTTCAGCTCTGAGGATGTGAGGGTCTTCAGTCGCGGGGGCAGGGGCAGCCTCACCCATCCCTGCGTGTCAGTGGCTCATAGCTTGGGGTGGGGGGAGGCATGGAGGGAGCAGACATTTAAATAATGGGCTGAATGGTATCTAAACTTGAGTGCCTTTCTTCCAGCAGGCAAAATTTTAGGCTCACTGATGCCCTTTAATAAACCACTTTTTTTGTCTGGAGTAAGTGGGGGGAAATGCAGGCTGGAGCCATGGCTGTGGCAGGTGGTCATAGCTGACCCTAAACTGGCTTCAGAGTTGGGGTCCTTCAGACTGCCCAGTGTAGTGCTATTCAGGTCCCCCTCCCTTTTTGCTTTGAGGTGGAGTAAAAACTACTCACACGTGAGTCCCAGGAAACAGGCTGGGGGCCATCACACTCGTCTTCTGGGCACATCTCTTTGCATAAGTTGGTGTGCATAGAGCTTCGTTTCTCGGCGGGTGA